GGTATCCCCGGGCTGGCGATCCCGGGGACTTGGGCTCCCCGACTGGGTCGCTTCATAGCAGAGGGGGACTCCCTTCCACAAGACATCTTTCACCGGAGGCTGCTTCCTGGAGAGGTGGAGTGGGGCAGCCACACACCGTCTTCAGAAAAACGAAAAAAGAAAACGCCCAAATCCTTTACATTTGAGTATCCTGCAGACACCAGAAACTATTCTGGGTGCTGCGATTTGGAACTAGAATAACCCGGGCGCCGAGGCTGGCTGGCGCCGGGAATGCTAGTACTTACTTAAGCGGTTGAGACAAGAACATCACTGTGAGTTCGAGCCTGGCATGGGCTAATGAGACTGTGTCTCAACTACCCCTTCTCCCAAGAATTAACACAGAAACAAGGGTTGGAGATGTCGCTTAGGGGATCCACTGCTTGTCTAGCACGTACGGAGCCCTGGGTCTAGGCGTGGATAAGTTCAAGGTCATCATTTGCAAAAGAAGTTTGAGGGCTACTTGACACTCTCCTAGCAGGTGCAACAGAACAAAACTTCAAGGAAATCTTAAGGCCCTATTTAGCGACTCCACTTGTGAGAAAATCAAAATCTAGACCTTATAGAATTGCTGCAAATGCAGGGTTTACACCAGTTGTAAGCAACAGATAATAATAGCTGTTAATGTGTAATAACCTACTTTGAAACAGTGGAATAAATCCACGCCATGCCTTTTGTTCCAGTTGGCTGTAATTAGCTCTAAACTGGTGAAAGCTTGAGCAATTGAAACCAGGGCCTGCAAGATGGCTTAGGTAAAGGCTTGTCTCCAAGTCTGACCACCTGAGTTCTATCTCAGTACCCACCTGGGGGAAGGAGAAAAATGAACTCCATCAAGTTGTCCTAACCTCCACACCCGTGTTGTGGCAACAGCATGCTACCCTGTCCCCCATACATGGAAGAAAAACAAACAAACAAACAAACATTGGTTTGTTGCTGTTGTTTGTTTGAGACAAGGTTTCTCTGTGTTATCCCTGGCTGTCTTTGAGCCCCTCTGAAGGTCAGCCTATTG